GCATCTGACTTCACTTTCGGCTGAAGCGGAAATTCAACTTCCAGGTCTCTCACCCTAAGATTCTGAACACCCCTCTGGAAGTGTAATGCATCGGGAACCCATGTCTTGATGATCTTCCCATTCGGACCGATGTCGTCCAAGTTCTTCATCGCCACCCAGGTGAGCAATTTCGTCTGCGTCTCAGGGTGTGCTTCGGTCAATTTCAAGAGGATCGTGGCGTCTTGTGCAATCTGCACGGCAAAGGTGCCGAAAACTTGCAAGATTGTCTTCGTATCGCTCGGATATTTTACCGCATTCGACGTGTCGAGTGTCTTGTGCCAGGTGTTCACCCAGGCCTCGCTGGAATAAGGGAACCAGAACCACTCAGCGTAGTCGGTTGTCGTGGCGCGGGTCTCAAAGTCGCGCTGGATCTCGGCTTTTCGTTCTGCGCTCAATGGATGCTTCGGCCGCAAAGGAGGAGGAATCGCCGAGTCTGGCATGCCCGGCGGCGGGGGGATCGCTTCGATGACGGGAACTTTGCGGGGTTCCATGAGGGCGCACGACAAAGGGTCAAGCTCGAGGACCAGATGCGTGACAATGCCTATCAGGCCAAAACAGCCGGCCGCGGCTCTAAGAATGTCGGGCGTAGACATGTCAATCTTGCGTAGCATGCCGTTGGCGTCGACATATTCCATACAACGAACGAGATCGGAGATGGTAGGATTTTGGATTCCACCGCCATGACTGCGAATAGATTGGTTAACACAGCTACTTCATCATCAAAACTCGAAGGAAGGCGAACAAACCAAATCGTGGCATTACTTCCGCCCATTGTGATTTCGACCTCAACAATGTTCATCGGCATCGTGACTTTGCCGGTCTCGATGCACCATCTACGTAGCTGCTCGTTGGTCGTCGATGTTCCGACCCGAACATACTTCTTCCCGCCGGTGAGTTGAGGGCCTTTGACATAGGTATGGTTGACGACAACTATCGAGTTCAGATCCTTTGCACGCGGTTGGAAGATGTCAGTCGGTAGGGATGTAAGATTCGGCAGTATCGAAGCGTCGATCAGTCCCAGGGTCGAGATCAGAATATCGCCATTATTCTGGCCGCCCTTCTTGTTAGAGCGACCAAAGACGGGGGACCACGAATGACCTGGCAGAATTCAATCAGTACTTGCACGACTTGCGGGAGACGACATTCGGAAGTGCTGGCAGTTCTTACGAAATCCGGAGGCTCGAACACCCATGTTCTGCTTCTTTGCAAACTTGATGATATCGCAGACATCTTGGGAAGTGTTTGGCACACATGTCAATGCTGGAGTGTTCTCTATCGTCCGGCCGTGGTTGAGAAACTCGAGGTTCTTGTAGGTCTTTGAATAGTTCAGTAGGTGGTGGTTTCAGAGATGGATTGTTTCGTTAGAGCCCTACCGGAACATAAAGCGCACGTTTGGGATCTTTCAGAGATGGGAACAGCTTTGCAAAAAGTGCTCGAATGCGAGAAGGGATGCTGGTTGGAGCTGCCCTCAGAAGATTGATGGGTTCCGTAAGGATGTTTGGCTCGCCAGGAATAGCACCGGCAAGACCTCCTCTGCGTATATCTCTTTTGAGTCTTGGACCTTTGTCCGTGGTAGCTTGACTATATCGCTGGCCGGCTTCCTTGGCGTCGATCTTGCCGTCGACAAAGTCGTTGAAGATTTCCTGCACCTCATCGTCGTAGTCGCCAACGATTTTCTCGTATGTGAAATCTTTGTCGGTCTGTTTGAAGGTATGTAGGAAGCGGCGGATGAATTGCTCCTCATCCACCTCGACATTCGGGTCAAACCAGTCATCGATCAGTTCCGCGAATCCTGGGAGCTCATTGCTGTCGACCTTCTTTCTGAGGCCCAATATACAGTCGGTGACAGACGTGACTGAATCGTGCTGGTGATTGCCATGGTCGATTTCTAGATTATTAGCCATTGGGGCATTTTTCTTGAATTCTAGCTAGAACAGGAAAACAAAAGAAACGAAAGCAACAAAATGGAACAGAGATCAAAACCGTTTGTGACGAGGTGAACTGGGCCATGGTGAAACTGGCGGTCACGATCAGCTTGCTTTTTTGGCGGCGGGGCGCCGCGTCTGCCTTGTCAAAAGCGACCTGCAATGACTAGACGTCCGGTCGACGCAGCGCCAGTCATTCGGGAGCGGGAGGCAGAGGCTGAGAGGTTGGCGGGCGCACAACGCCAGTCAGAGACGGCCATATGTAAGGATTGCGGGTGCTGCGTTGTCACTCTGGCTGGAACAAGCTGCTGAGGCTGACGATCGCTTATTGAGAAATCCGGGAAAATGACCTGACATGTACATGGACAACGTGGTCCGGCTTCGCTTGTGCATCACTCGGACGTGGAGAGAATATCGCCGATGGCATGATGGCATGATGGCCTGAGCGATCGGGTAGCAAAACAGAGTTTGGTTAGTCGACAGACAAGAGCACAGGCGGCTTCATGTATGTCGTATGTAGGTCGTGCGTTGGCCTTTGCAACAGACTCCCGAGATGCGTCTGACCCGCGTCACCCCCAATGGCCCATTCCCCGCCATGGACGAGGAAGACAGGACCGACAAGGAAAGCTGAGATTGAGGCCCGCCATTGGGTTGGTAGATGGATTTCAAATACGAAGAGTGGAAAGTGGAAGTGGAAAGTGAAAATTGAAAAAAGAGCTGGTGAAGAAGGGTAGGAGAAAGTAAGGGACTCAGTACAAGAGCGCCTCAGGCTCTAGGAAAGAACCAGGCGCCTAGAAGCATGTACCTAAAACCCCTAGTACTCGGCAAATGTACAAAGGTAGATTGCCTACGGTAAGCAGCAGGAATAGTACATACCGACTCGTTGGCACAGGACATTAACTTAGCTAGACCCCGCCACTAACAAGTTATTAGCCTGGTACGCTCGTTACTCCCCCCTAACAAGTATCTCGTGCGAAGTACCTTGTAGGCAGGCTGTAATACACTGGGCGACAGGAATTCCGGCCTTAGCCGCGCTGGCAGTTGCACTATGCTTCTCTCATCAAGTGTTGCAAGTATCTCAACAACAATGGTATCCCGCATTTCCCCTGGGACCAGAATGTTAGGCTCTAACCAATATCTTCATCCTCACAGTCAAGAATCCTAAATTATAGCATAGCAATGTGGCCTCCCTGAAGGTAAAAATTCATCTATCGTACGTCTCACAGCAGCAGTGTCGCCTTCACCGGTTACAGCGAGTTCTCGAGCTCGACAGCTTCCTTTAACATCTCCTCCCACTTGGCCACCTCCTCCTTGGTCGGCTTGGGCAGTGGCCGTCGTGCGTAACCCCCATATCCAAAATATGACTGCATCGCACTTTTGGTGCCTGTGATTCCACCAGCAATCACGCCCCAATCTCCGCGGGCTACCACCGCCTGCAGCTTCTGAGCTTCCTCCACCTTGCCCTCGGCATAGAGGTTGTAAACCTTGACACAAGCCTTAGGGACCACGTTGCCCAAGCCGGTGATAATTCCCGACCCGCCGGCAATCAGCGTTTGGAGAGTGAAATCCGCCGAACCACCCATACACATCCAGCCCGATCCAATATCAGTTGGTGTAGCGGCATTGACCGCGTGAGCAATACGGTTCAATTTGCCCGTGTTGCCACAAGTAAGCTTGCATCCACGGATATTGGGATGCTTGGCCAACTTGATGATGGTGTCCGAGTCTAGATCCACCCCTGCAGCGGCTCCGGGATAGTTGTAAATGATAATAGGGATTGGTGAGCCATCCGCCACGGCTTGAAAGTACTCAACAAACGACTCAGGCTTGTATGCTGACTTGTAGTATGAGGGGGGGAGAACCAAAGCACAATCTCCGCCGGCCTGGTACGCATCTCGGCAAAACTCGATCGTCTCTCGCACGGATTGAGCTCCACAGCCAACCACAATCGGCATATCTGAAAACCCAGCCTCGTCCAGCGATTTACGTGTGGTGCTCGTTACCAGTATCCGCTCCTCCTTGGTCAGATGTACTGCTTCTCCGTTCGAGCCTTGACAGGTGATGGATGAAAGGCCAGCCTTGGCAAGCCTGACAGCGTGCTTGGCGATCGCGTTGACATCAACGTCTTCAGTTTCTGGATCAAATATGGTGACCATGGGCACGTTGATGCCCGGTCTCAGGGGTCTAACGGCGTGATGGCCGTTCATCTTGCAGATCCCTTTTGTGTCGTTGGTTGTCCTCTGGGGCAAATTGTGTAGACAAGAGGAAAGTAGGAAACACAGACGGACAAAATTAGTTTTCGACTCCTGGCTAACCCGTTTGACTGGCCTTCACTAGTGATCGATAAGGGACGAAAAACAGCCTCCGAGTGAAAACGAAAAGACCGTCACTGTTTATAAAGTGAATGACCTCGCCCGGCATTAGGCCGACAACTCGAGCCTGAATTCACAATCGCAAGAGACGTCTTTTTCACGCCCCGCACAATCTGGAGGCGTGGGGTGGGGACTCCATTGTAACCGTGGGCAGCGGCGATGGCCGCGGAGGGCTCACCATAAAGCATCCCGCAGAATCGAAACACGATTGCGAACGCCTGCCCAAGATCAGGCGCCGTTTTCTCCGAGACATGTCAATTATGCGCCGCATGCAACCTGTTAAGGAATGGGGATCGCCATGTGGCAAGCTCTGAAGCTGAGGCCGTAGAGAGTAGGACTCAAGCCAAGCGCAAGGCTCTTTTCTCGGATCATTGTTCTTCCGAATTGCATCTCCGTTGATGCAGTGGGGTGAGAGATCGTTCCCCCACGCCCGACGGCAACTCACACCTTTTGCAGGCGGGAGTTGTTCACATTAATTTGCCGGCTGGGTCATGATTCCTTCCACGGGAGATGACCCTCTGCTGTGCCGTTCCAGAGTTGTGGCCATCCGGAGAACAAGACGGCTTTTGGCTTCCCAGGAGAATGCGGGTCAAAGCCCTCCGTCGGAGTGAGCGTGGGGTTGGTATGTACAAAAGGAACCTCCCACTGTCGGCTTCAGCGTATATCAGGTCTGGAGTTCCCGCCCTTCTCTCCGCCGCGTCAACAGTTCTGAAATTGGGACATTGTCCTCATCGTAGAACTCGACGTCCTCGTCGACACCGTAGTCTTTCAGTCGGTTTCCTCCTGAATCCTGCCAACCTTCCTCGCCGCTGAGAGAATCATCATCGGCCGGATTGACATAATCATTTTTGATCGGCACGAGATTGTCCTTTTCAAAACGGTCGTGAAATGGTTTACGTCGTTGAACCCCATAGTAACCCGGACGTCGCTCAAAGTCAGCCTGTTGTCGCTGTTTGAAGGCCTCCATCTCCTCATAAGGCGAGAGAGTTCCGTGGTCATGAACAAATGCATTGTGTGACGAGTCAAGCGACCGATCAAGTCGGGGCATCCGATCAGGGTCTGGTGGTGGCCATGTTGTACCCGGGTCCTCAAATCCATTGGTTTCGAAGACCAAACCGCTCGTTTTTGGAGTCGCAGAGAATGGCCAGAACCAGGCCAAGAAGTTTGCTGTCCCCATTCCTTGCACAATGTTGCTCCAAATGCCTATATCGTAGGGGAATTCTTGTTTCGCAATCTTGACTCGAATGCCATCTGGACCATCCAGATATCCTCCGAGTGCACGGGCTCGACGGAGTAGCTGTTCGTGGCGCTCAATTTCCCAGCTCTCGATAGTGGTGACATTAGCCCCGAGACCCCAGATTGTACGAAAAAAGGTGATTGAGACGAGAAAGATAGTCAGAGTGTTGACAATTATCAAAATGAGAAGATGGACCAGCTGGGAAGGAGAAGGCCCTAGATACTTGGACATCGAGTTAGATCCTGCTTGTTTCGAGGGTGGATGGCCTTACACTGGGCAGATTGCGGTTCTCCCAGACGACACCAGCTCGCACGAATAGGAAGTATTCAAGAAAGCCCATAGCGAAGACTGCGTACCATAGAAAACGCATAAAATGGGGGAAGGTGAAGTGAGACACACAGTTGACGGTCCAGGGGCAGTGGTGGTCCATCTTCGGGATACATCTGATATATATTCAGTATGAATTTCGAAAACTGGAGCGACTACTCACCTTTTGCATACTCTGCAATGATGTGACCTGGGAGGTTTGATTGCTTCGCATTTACGGCAATACCTGTGCCTTAAGGAGATTCTGTCTCCGGGAGACAATGCCTCTATTTCTTCGTCCTCAGTGGGTTTCCAATCAAAGGGTACGCGTCCGGGATTCGTCGTGCAAGCACGAGCATAACATATCCATATGCATCCAACCAACGTGTTGAAAATGATCTTGTCCCGCAAAGAAAGCGGACCAGGCTCAAGACTATAAAAAAGGTACTGAGATGAATAGGAAAGAAAGGCCACCAGGATCACAACCACTGGCACCGCGAATTTTGCCAATTGTTGAGTGTCCATTGCTGACATCAACAGGAGGTTGTGTTTGGTGCTTAGTGTGGTACACTGTCTGCCAAACCGACAGCATCGCTCCGTCTTGGCGTCGGTCAGCTGAAAAGGAAAGAGGGGTGGCCGAAACTCATGGCAGCGAACTTCGGCAGCCTCACGGCGAAGACAGCTCGAGCTTTGTACAATGAGAAGCAAAAGATGACGTTCGAGGGTGTCTGAGGGACTCCAAAAGACTTATCGACATGCCAAGGCGCTAGCCAATTAGCTCCGACGCGTCTCGGCGCTCAAACACGCGCAAGCACGCATTGAAGTATCCTCGCCAGTGTCTCAACCGCCACCTCCTCGTCCTCTATCTTCTCCTGCATCTTCTCGTCTATGGCGGCGAAATGCCAATTGAAGCCCTGCCAGAAACCACAAGCCGTGCTCTCACCTCATCGCTCGTTCTAACCGATGCTAGATCTGTCGTCAAGGAGCTTGTTGATAACGCTCTAGACGCTCGAGCAACAACAATTAGCGTCGAGATATCCAACAACGCACTGGATGTCATTCAGGTAAAGGACAATGGCACAGGCATTGACGTCCAGGATCGCCAGCTGCTCTGCAAGCGAGGCTGTACTTCCAAGATCAGGTCACTTGAGGATCTTGATCGACTTGGCGGCTCCTCTCTCGGGTTCCGAGGTGAAGCACTGGCGAGCATTGTCGAATTAAGCCAGGCGGTGGTTGTCACTACCCGAGTCGACGGGGAAGTTGTAGGGACCTCCATCAAGTATAATGCCTCGGGGATGTTCAGGTAGGTACAACGGTCAGTTCTTTTGGAGACTCAATGTATCATGACCGTTTCAGTTCTTCTTCAGCCTCCCATCCTGTCGGGACGACGATTCGTGTACAGGATTTCCTCATGAAAATACCGGTTAGAAAACAGACGGCGTTGAAGGAAAGCATGAAAACCTTACAAGCTATAAGATCTCTCCTATTCTCCTTCGCTTTCGCTAGACCGGAAGTACGTCTCTCGTTGAAGATCCTGAAAGGAAAGAACGACAAGATCAATTGGACTTACGCACCCACCTCGACAGCTTCAATCACAGAAGTGGCGACGAAGATTGTGGGAAAGGATATTGTGATTGGATGTACTGCACACGACATCTCTTCGGAAGATTGTGACGTCGATCTTGACAATGGCTGGAGAATCAATGCTCTGTTGCTCTCAGCGGCACGAGGTTCGTGGGACCATCTTTTTTCTGCACAAAAAATGCTGACAGCCTCAGGTTCTGCCAATGCTCGTAACGCTAGGCAATACATTTCTATCGACGGCCGTCCTGTCAGTACGGATCGAGGCACGATGCGGGAAGTGGCCAAATCTTATAAGCGTCACCTACAGAAGACTCTCTCATCCTCTGAGGGGTCTTCGGTCTCGAGACCCTTCCTCTTCATGCAGATCCTGTGCCCCTCGGGAAGCTACGACGTCAACGTAGAGCCCACCAAGGACGAAGTCCTTTTTGCTCGACCTGATCAGTTGCTATCTCTAGTCGAATGCTTGTTTACCCGAGCATATCCCGGGGTTGGAGAACACACTATGGATGTATTAGAGAATGCTTGGACCACGCCATCTCGAGCAATGGTTCCTACATCGCCCCAAGACACCTCTCGTATAGGCCTAGACCACGCCGAATTGGCAGAAGGTTCAGTGCAACCAGACAACGTCCCTGTTGCACTCGATGCGGAAGAAATGCTGACACGCCCATCAAATACAAGAAATCCCTTCACTATTGCAGCAATGACTGCACAAGTCAAACCCAAAAGGATGGACACAGAGCAAGACAGGGCATCATCTAGTATGAACACGACTGCTCTGGCGGATGAAGAGGAGGCTGAGATGTTCGAGAACATCCGCACAACAGTGACAGGCTCACGGAAGCCCTCAGCACCTCCCTCGAGCAATTCTAGTCTCCGTCCTACTTTGACTCCCAGCGCAGGCCTGTCCATGAGACGACTGGTCAAAGCGTCAACGGCCACAGAAGATGAGCAAGTAGGCCTAAGCATCTCAGATGACAGCAGCAGTGTCACCGTGGCGCGAAAGTCAAATCTGCAGACATGGCTTACGCCGAAGTCCGGATTTCATCAGGCTTCTGGCGCGAGTGTCATCAGTCCGAACATTCAAGCCCCAAATTCACCAATGAATGCTCCTGATGTCCCGGACCTGAGATCGAGATCCCATAATAGCATGTTGTCACCCCCTTTCAGCTCTCAGACGCGTCGGGGATGGGGACCAGGCCAAAAACCCTTCAAAGTCCCGCTGAGACGCCAAGATCAAGCTGAATCCTCTGGAGCCTCATCTCCAACGCCACCTTCAAGTATTCGTGGTCATGGCCAGCTGTCATTGCAGAGGGGCCTTCCAGGAGTTCCCGCAGTGTCTGAGTCGGGTGAAGATGACGGTGACGATGTCCATTCTAACCTACAGTCTCAATTGGAAAGGACCACAGCGGGTCTTGAAAGGTCTCCAGAAAATGGGCTTCTGCAGCCAAATTCCGAGCTAGACGACATTATGGATTTCGAACACAGAAAGAAAGCTGCCATCGCTCATCAGAAAAGAGTTGTCGGGGTTCTTAACTCTACATCTCTCCAGGAAGGAGTGGGCAGATCAAGGCAGCCTGAGTCAAGTTCTGCGCCGCTACCGCTTTCCGGCGAGGAGGAATTAGTAGACGGTGCAAACATTGAGGATTACGGTACGAGATTTGGAAACTCAAAATCTCGAGCCCTGGTACCGTGGACGTCGAATCCACATCGGAATCGCTACCTGAAGGCCTTGAAGGACCTGTCACACTCCCATTCACAGCCCGAAGATGAAATTCCTCTCGAGACTGCCGAACAGAGCAACCTTTTAAATACGCAGATACCAGCGGGCGCTCTGAAGAAACCCGAGCTTCCCACCGATGACCCACGAGCTTACTTTATCAGGCAACAGCGGAAAAGCAGGAACAGGAAGATCTACCGAACAAAGTCGTCCAAGTTACCTCTCGAGAGGACTCCTCCAGAATGGATGACGTTCAACCTTGTTCTCACCACGAACGACTTCAAGGACACCAAAGCCTTGTCTAGAAAAGTCCAGGCCCTAGGTTTCAGTGATGCCTACATCACTCATGACCGAGCGCAACACACAGATTTCGACGATTTGCATGCATCAATAGACAATAAATATGGACCTGTCCTGCAAAAGATGGTCAAGACAATGTTTCGCGGCAAAGCAGAAGATGGAAGTGAACTTGTTCCAGAGGATCTGAAAATTGTGACGTCAAAGTTATCTGAAAGCTAAGAGGAGGTGTTGCCGGAGGAGGCTCCTTTTTTCCCTTCTGAAATCTCGAGCGAGTGAAGGGATAGTGTTGCGGGAAGTTTTGCTAATGATTAGATTTGACATTAGATGCCGTTATTGATATTGCTGGCTCGCTACACTACGGTTAGTTGTCCGTCTGGAATTTGCTCCTGGCGGTGGATCGAAAGAATCTATATCGTGGCGCCAAGATTGCAGGAGTTGATCCCAAGACATCACATCTGTCGAATGTCCTGTACCAACGCGAATGAGTGTTACATAGATCCTTTCACAGTTCATATCCCTCCCCTTTGTCCTTGGGTTCCTGGGTCCCTGCCTTCCGTCCATCAGCACCGTTTCGATCCAGTTTCCAAATTCCTCACAGCCTCCTCTCTGACGAGCTGCAGCTCCGAGACCGCCTCCTCGGCCCGTTCCACAGGCACGAAGAGGTGATCGTGGTAGAAGCCGCTGACAGGATTGACGCTGATTCCGCGGCCGGCCAGCCTCGTCGCCAGCACGGCCATGAAGCCCACCGCCTCGAGCGACGAATGCACGTCGCACGTGATCATCCGGCACGGGTACGCATAGTTCTGGATGCCGTGTTTCCGGGCGATCTCGAGGCGGAGGATGAGCGTGATGGCCGTGCCTTTTCCCTGTCCCGGTCCCGGTCCCTCTGTTGCTAATGCTATTGCTGTTGAGGAGGAGGACGACGACAACGAGGGTCCGGCGCCACTAGTCCGGTGCGGCTCACGGAAGAACAGAGTTATCTCCTCAATTGGCACGGGGAGGTGATGGTCGTCATCCGGAATGCTCGCGAAGACATATGTTTCCTCATGCAGCGTTGCGCGCAAGGTGGAGAGGAGGCGCGAGAGGGACGTTTCGCCGCCGAATGAGGCGTCATCGGACATGTTTTGGGTTGCTGTTGCGGCTGTTTGATGCCTCCTGCTGTCTTTGTTTCTTGTATTCAGGAATCGAAATGGTGATATCACCTCGATGTCGACGAGATCGATACACGACCCCGGGGAACTCTCAAGATGCTGAATCGATCTTCCAGTTGCTGTTGTCGACTTCGGAGTCGACTCAGCATGTGAAACAGCAGATATCCTAGGTGGTTTTTTATTCCCCCAAGCTTCTAAAGGCCAGTCTAGTCACCCTGTTGGCATACATTGAAGACCAAATCGCGAGGGGACGAACACGAGGCGAGATACTCTAGAGATATCCTTGCCCTTAAATCCAGCCACTCCCTCTGTTTCTTTTTGTTTCATGACATTCTTCCAAGGGCGTTTTGAGAATTTGTATGGATTAGTCACGGTCAAGTTGAGGAATCGCCGAGAGGCTATTGGAGAAGCTAAAAAGGAAACCATGTCTGGACATGGTCAAAGGGCGTCCGTCTTATTGGCGCAACTGATTACTCGTCCTGTACAGAGTAAATGCTCTCAGGCTTTTAATTAATGGCCCTCTCCAATTGTTTTAGGAAAATAGTTTTTCCACATCCCCTTGCGGCTTCGCGGGGCACCCATGTAAACAAAAGACCTCTTCGATCTCAGCCACTGTTTCCATTCATTTCTGTCACGGATCTAGATCTGTTTGGTGACAACCCATTCGTCTGTCGACATGGCTAATCCAGAAATGGCGGAACCTTCAGTTATAACGAGTATTTCGTTTGCCTTTGGAAATGGTGGTGTCCAGTCCTCTATCCATGCTGTTAGCTGTATTGGATGTAGCGGCCGCTTCGCCGTTGTCGAGCACTCCTGGGCGACATAGATGCAGCCCGCCCTGTTTTCCATGCCCGAGTGTACCGCCTGGTTTTCAATTTCGCCCGCCGTGTACCTTCGGTAGAGGTTTATTTACTATGTCGGGGTCGACGAGACGGATATTACGCACCAAGGCCTATTCACTCATTTGGGGAAGAGGATGATGCTGCCTTGACGCTCCCAAACCGACAGTGCACCGTACTCTGAACACATGCCCGAGCTGTTCGCCGGGTGAATTTTCTTCAGACGACGGCCTATCATCTCCATGATAGACGAATACTGCTCCAACCTAATTCAGCCCATGACCCGGTGCCGACACAGGAGCAATACAGGCCAAAAAATTGCTTGTTTTCTGCATGCCATCCTCATGGTAAACTCGAATAACTGTTTCCAGTATCATAAGTCGTAAAATTATGATCGGCTTGGAGCGAAGGAGGTTGCCGGCTACCCGTGCCAACGCTCGAAGCCGGTGATGTGGTACGCCGTCGATCACAAACAGACTTGCTCTCCCGCCCTTCCACCACAAAAGCACGTTGAGATTCCCTCAACATTGACACACATAGTCCTCCGGCATTGGTCTCTGCCCCATCCCATAGCCGCCGCCATAGACATTTTCTGCAGCCATACGTAGCGTCATCGGCATGAGGCGATCCTCGTAGTGCTCCACGATATCATGTTTCTCCACCGCAAACTTAATGTTGAAGTGTTCATCCTCCGTTGCCATTCGCACACACTCCTTCTCCTTCTCCTCATCCCACCAACGTGGCAACATCCCCGCGGCTTTCGCACGAGCCAGAAAATCGCGGAACACCGGGAGCGGGGGCTTTCGGCCATAGATGCCATGGTAATGAGCGCCCCAAGCATAGTCGTCGTCGCAGCGAAGGCGGAAGGCATCAATGAGCATCTCGTAAGTCTTGGACTCAGTGTCAAAGTCTTTGAAGTAGTTGAACAGGAGAGGGTGAGGAGGCCCAAGAGGCGTGGTTGTAGGTTTGGTGCGTGTGGTGTCTGGGCATCGACATACGGTTTTGTGTTGCGGCCAGTGAGCTGTCTGGCATTCTATATAGCGGCCAATAAGTGATCCGTAGAGGGAGCGGCCACCACCACAAACAAAGACGAACCTTTGGAGCAGTATGTCGCTTTCTGACAGCGGCTACATCTTTTTAAGCCAGAGCCAGTGGTCAGTTCGACCTCAGCCTTATTGCAGGCTACGCATACTCGCGGTGCACCTGCTGCGTTTGTAGAGTCTGCCATTGTGGTATTTCTTTTGGGCGAAGGTTGGTGCTATTTTTGGCGCAGGATGGAAAATTGCCAGGCGCCGCTGACGACGTGGAAAAGAGGAGTGAGATAGCCCGCTTCGTGACGCGTCGAGGGGGATCTGTGAAGACGTGACCTTTTGCCATGGAATGTGAACTTTGTGTGAGAGACCCGTCTGCCCCCGTCCTGCCCGTCTCACTCGTACTTGCTTGCCATGAGCCTGTTACATACCTTGCCTAGCAATCACAGAGCACTCTGCTTGTCTCTTTGTCGATGTTGGAGAAACCGGCTAACTATGGAGGATGTCCGCATTGCGGCATCGCCATTCTCTGCAGGTGTTTGGGAATGTCGGAGTCTGCCATAGTTCGCAGGAAATGGGCCCTTCTTCAGTGGCTTGGCAGCGACTAACTAAAACCAATAGATTTTATCTCACGTGAGGGACCCTGGCAGTGCCCAGTGCCTTGCAGTGCCTTGATCGGGACGCCAGTGACGTCATTCGAATCTCCACCTGCCGAACTCAGACGGATGGCATAACATTACTGCCCAGGCCCCCGAGCACGCTCTTAAATGAGGAAACTTCAAGCCAGCCCCATTCACAAGTTACTCGATACCCAAGGATCAACCTGGATCGCTCTTGAAGATGGTATTGTTCGGCTGGCCCGCACCGGCTGGCTTTGTCACGCTCTGATGGCTGCTAGTAGCGCGTCTTCGATCAACCTGAAATTGGGTTTCAAGCGGACGCTGGGATCCAAGTTGCGGAGGATACATCTGGCATTCCTCCCGTGTGGCGGCACTCTCATCTCACTACACCGGTCGCAAATTGGACCCCCCGGTATGCGCCTTTTCCCATCTGCATTCATGCGCAAAAGCACCTCTATGGCCTTCAAGTTCATTTCGCGAGCTGCAAGGTGCAGAGGAGGCAACGATCCATCAGCTTCACCCGATGGGAGCTCCTTGTTAGCGCCATTGCGAATCAACAGAGGAATCATGCTGGGCCGGTCGCTGATGATGGATTGGTGTAAGGCTGTATTACCTCGATGGTCCTTTATGTCGATGGCTGACAGGTCTCTTGCTGAAATGCACAACTCCTTGAGAACTTCCATTTTGTTCGCTTTGACCGCTTCATGTAGGGACAGTTGGAAAGCATTGCCAGCTGATGGTCTCCAGGTGACGAGTTCGGGATCGCTCCTGAGGATTTCTTGGACCAATACCAGCCTGCCATCACGGGTTGCTTTGGACAAAGCGTGGAATCCATTGTGAAACGGTTTTTTTCTCTCATGGACCTTTAGAAATTCGCGCAGTAGGTTCAGAGCCGAGGCTTCTTTTGACTTGGGCATTTCCATAACATATTGCAATGGATATTTACCAGCGCCATCCTTCATCTCTATCTTGCGTCCGAAGGTGAGTAAAGTCCCCACCGACTCTAGGTCTTCGCTCATGACGGCCTGGTGGAGCGGTGTTTGTCCATTGTTGTCAGAGCAGTCGATTTTAGCCCCCAGCTCAAATAAAACTTTGATACTGGCAACGTCCTTCGCCACAACGGCGCTGTGAAGTGGGGTTCGCCCAGCAGTATCGTGGGTTTCTACCTTGGCGCCCACCTTGACCAGCCTCCTTAACATCTCCATGTCCTTAGCAAGGACGGCATTATGGAGTGGCGTGCGACCATGGTGATCCTTTGCCTCCGTCCTGGCTCCATTTTTCACCAACGGTTCGATCAGATCAAGCCTTTTCTCTCTCGCAGCCAAAGCCAGAGGAGTTTCATTCTTGTTCGGTGTGTTGATCAAAGCAGGACCTTTCTCAATGATGTATTTTACGACTTCGATGGATCCATTCCGAATTGCGCAATGTAGGGTTGTATCGTGAGACTTCGTGTTGACCGTTGCAACCTGTACGCCTTTTTCAACAAGATGCTTGATAATCTCCAGTCTACCCTTTCGAATAGCGACGTGAAGCAGGGGGTTCCCAGCTTCATCCACTACTTCGCGATTTGCTCCTTTTTCGAGCAGCAGCCTCACCGTACTTAGGTGGCCGTAATAGACCGCCATCATCAGCGGAGTAAATCCTTTGCGGTCAGTTGTGTCCGCCCTTCGTACTTCGATGTCGGCATTATGCGGCGCGTTTAGTAGAACCTTAACCAACGGGTCCTTTCCATATCTCGCTGCGCGTAGAAGTACAGTGTCACCGGAGCTGTCTCGGGCACGGATATCTGCACCCTTTTTGATGAGCAGTTCCATGATGGCCGCATTTCCTGTGCTTGCAGCATAGCACAATGGAAGGTAGATAGGTTTTTCGCAGTCGATGTTGGACGATAACTGATTGGGATCAGCCCCTAGCTCAAGGAGAAGTTCTACTATCTCGGTGGAGTCCTTATTGCCATCTTTATCAATGGCTTTCAGCAACCATGATGCTCGTTTGCCTCTAGGGGCCTCGTTTTCAAAAAGATGGAGCCTCTTGAACGTATGGCAAACACCGCTACGTCCTTCCTTTAAGCCTCTTCTGTACCCTGTGCAGTCATCGTGTGACTGAGTTGAGCTAGTCGGGGCATCAGCATGAGTGGATTGTACCGAAGCTTGTGTTGTTGCGGTATTAGCAGTAGCCTTTGTTCCATTGGTTTGCTCTTTTTTTGGTGCTTGAGCTTCTGGGTGCACATCGGCTGGGCGGTCTTTTTGCCCCTGATCTCTCGCTTTAGTGGGCTGCTCTTGCTTCTGACGATCGTCAACGATCCGTTTTAGCCTTGATGCCTGATTGTTGTTCTTGTTGATTTTTTCAAGGAAATCTGATGTTGATGGGCCGGTCCTGGCTCTTCTTGATGCTTAGTCCGACTTCAACGTAGGAGAGCTCGAACCACTCACGGACTGAGCATGCCTGAAAGTTCCAATAGAGCATTCTGGTAGACTTCCAAAAGTATCTGGGAATCATCCCAGGTGGCCACGATAGGAGACTTTCTAGCAGCGAGAAGGTTCAGATTGTAGATGATTGTTGCCATGACATTTGAACATCCACGAAGGGCCGCCTTGAAGCAACTCTCCTCGCGACTCGTTTCTCGAAATGGGTGGCGGAGGCGATCAGTTCGATTGAGGAGGAGGACTAGGATGCCCACTAGACTCTTCTCGATGCCGATCAATGGAGCCTCCAATCGATCTGCAGAATGGGAAAGTCCCTCATCAAGATTGTCGACACGGGTCAGGAGCTCGTGTGCCTTGACGCAATCTAGCAAGAGAGGATCAATCAGTCGAATTGCTATGTAGGCACTTGTCGGCGCCATAGTTCTGGATGAAAACTCGGCCCTATGCTAGAGAAGTCTTATCTATCGAGTAAACACTATTTTGCCTGGTTTACAGGCTGTAAGGCACGTACTTATTCATTTCACATGACTTCAGCCGCACATTGCGGGGACGATCATGCTGGGGAGATTTTTTGAAGCGCCGCAGATGGCACAAAGACACCCTGCCACTGGGTGACGTGGCAATGCATGCAGGTGAACCAGATTGGCTCCCTCCTGCTCCTTCCAAGCAAGATGCCGTAGACTATGCAGGCTTGCACTGATATGAATGGAGGAAGACATCTAGTACTCCATGTCCAGCCCCAGCCATGGCCACAATGCCGGATCCCCGGAGCTCATTGTATGGACCGCTGAGAGCCGCATTCGGTGAGCCTTGCCGTTGACTGTGGTGCAGTCGGAAAAGTCATACAATGATCTCCAGAGGCGAAGATAACGGTCGCAAGTCAGAGACTCCCGAGTGACATGCTTAGGAGACACATCTCACGCAGGCTAAGGAGAGTAGGATCTGTTGCGATAGTCCCCAGAGCAGAATACGGTCGTTGAAGGACTCAAATGTATTCTCAAAGCTCTGGACCTCCCTGAGAGAATAGAAGGAACAAAGAAGGGCTTCAACAGACAAGCAGAACATATGGGAATATGTGGAAAAAGAGACACGAGGGTTGATATTGACGCGTTGGAGCGGACGAAGTGGCGGCCGCTTCAGGGCTCCGCAGCTTTGCACGGCGACGACGTCATTCCTAGTCTTCGATCTTGAACTTCTACCTCATCTATTTGGCACTCAAGGAAGCTAACACTGAGCTCGTGTACCTCTACACTTGAACCACCTTCTCTCGCGTGCTGTCAAGGTCCGGTTGGCATCGATTTTACCCTCGCTAGAGGTCTCTCTTCGATCCAGCTCAGGGCCCGCCAATGGCGCTCAGGGTTGCACACCCACCGACAACCACGGCTCAAAACCACTTAAGTCATGGCTTGAGTCAAATGGCGGATGTGGTTCTCCATATTGATCAACAGCGCGAGTTTTCGAGACCCATCACGGCCGGGGAAGAGAAGTGGGCATATAAGGAGAAGAAATGTCCGCTCATAAACACCCTGGCGTTTGGTAAGTAGAGTTCTCACGTCGGGCGCGGGGAACGCAGTTCAATTGTGAGGAATCGTTCCGGATAAGAGAAGTAAATGGGGTGTTTAGTCTCCTCCTCATCTTCATTATCATCAACTTGTTGCATTCGTCAATGCGTTCATCTAATCCTACATCCCATCCCATCCCAACCCATCCAGCGCCTCACGAAATCAGATATCCTTCGGAAACCCCTCCACATCCTGCACGTCCTTGGGCAACACGCTTTGGGAGGGCACACTACTATCACTGCCAGTGGTCATCATCTCTTCCGTGGCGTCCCACGCGGCCTGGGCCTCGGCCATGACCTGTCTGCTGGTTTGTGGGTTGAGAACGAAGTCCTTGACGGCTGGGGCGGGCAGGAAGTGGTGCAGCGCGACGAAGACGACGGCCGCGATGGAGAAGCCTACTAGGAACGAAATGTAGTATGCGTGCGTCCAGCCTAGGGAGACGTGGATGCTGTTGTTGACGTTGGAGATGAAGCCTGGCATCGAGGGGAAGACGCCGCATGCCCACTTTCGCATAGTATAGGTTAGCTAGGTAAACAAAAGCCCAGAAGACAGGACGTTTGCATCAAGGCAGGTGGTGCGTGGGTGGGTGAAAACCCGAAAATCAATATCAACGAGAAGAAAAAGGAAGTGTGGTTATTTGTTATACGTACCGCGACTGGCGCCCGCCAATTAATGCCACATGTATACCAGTAGATACTGGTCTTGTCCCCTCGGTAGAGATCATCCACCTTGATCTTCTGACGGTGCACGATGTAATACGAGGAGATCATGAGCCCGATCATCGGACCCAGGAAGACCCCATAGCTCGACAAGACGGCCAGGAACGTCGAGGCTGTGGCGAGCAGTTGCCAGGGGTTGACGACCATGGACAAGACCGCGGTGATGTACGCTCCTCTGCGGATGTTGATATACCGGGGAAAAGTCGCGGCGAAGTCGAAGCCACCGGACAGGGCGTTCCCGGGCACGTTAATGCCCCATTGTGAGATGACGAGCGCGGCACCGCCGAAGAAGCCCGCCGCTCGAGACCTGGATCCCCCGGCGTGCATCATGGCAATTAGTAGATCGGGTAGACTCCATAAAGCGGCACCGTACCGCCTTTGCGTGGCCGCCGTGACGAGAATCCCCACAACAGAGCTGATGATCGAGTACGTCGCGGCGCTGGCGATCTGACCCCATATGGCATCCTTCGGTCGGCGAGCGAAACGCGCGTAATCATTCTGGTTCAGGATCCCCGCCGCAATCCCTCCAATGGCACTGATGATGCCGTACAGAACCGCCCAGCCGGTCGAAGTGTCCTGGGTCTGTGGGTGACCGGTGATCGTGTCGCCGAATCCGTCCATCGTGGCCAGCGCCCAAATCAAGAGCACAATCTCAAAAGTGAAGATCGAGGCGACGGCAACGTAGAAAAACACCTTCAATTTGTGCGGCCGGATCCAGATCAGAGGGAGGGATATAAGGCAGAAGATCCAGTACGTGAGGAATGATGCAGACGTCAGTCCGGTGGCGTGAAGGTTGTTTGGAATGCGTTGTTCGAGATTGGGCCATATGGCTTCAAGGCAGACGTAGACACACTGGCCGCCGATCCAGGCCTGCACGGCATACCACACCAGCGACAAGAGGATTCGATTGTAGATGACGAACGAGCTGCCGTACATGCCCCAAACGTATCGATTTGCGATGGGGAATCCAAGGTGATAGAAAGCGCCTGGCATGCTGTTCAATACTATCTGTATCGTCCCAATTCCCGGAATGGTCAGCACCGTTCAACCCATTTGATAATCCGAACTTATTCCATGGGTGAATGCGAAATGCCCGAACAACTTACAAAGACCGTCGACAGGACTGCCCCGAAAACTATGGCAATGATTGCCTGCCACCAGTTCAACCCAAGCGCAATCAGTGAGCTCCCCGTCATGTAAGTCGAGATATTTGTGTTGGTCAACACCCCTGTAAGCGAGTGTTGGCTGGGCCATTTCTAATGGAGAATGCGCAAGAAATGTAACATACAGAGGTTGTGAAAGGTCCAGAACGTCCATGTTCGTCTGCCCTTTTCGATAGGCTTGATATCATTGTTGATCCAGCGATTCGGAACCGTCCCGCCTTCATACGGCACCTCGAGTTTCCTCAGAATGCCTCTGAAGCCCGCCATGTCGACAATCGGAGCCACGGTGGAGACAGCAGAAGGTGGACGTCGTCTGCCATCAGTGGAGTGCAGGATGGAGTTATAAACTGGAGTTCCCCGTCGTCGACCATTCTCGAGAGGATTGATTAATCAGGCCCTGATAACGACAATGGACGGTCAATTAGTTACCTGGGGCTGGGACTTTTTGCACCACTAGCCTACAGTCGATCAGTGCTTAATCATCCACTTTTCTGCCACAAGGGTGTCATCAGGACCAATGAAGCACGAAGAAGAGAAAGTGGTCAGAGATGATTTGCTGGGTTTTTTGCTGGCCAAGAACCAAGGATGAGAGCACCAAAACCGGATCCATAGGATCAGTGGAAAGATGGCCTATGAAGACTCTTCCTAATGGGCATGCCTGTGAATAAGCCCACTGCCTCGGTGGCCCGGCCCTGTCGCTTACCCGTTCTTGATATTTCCTCCGCCCTTGGGGCCTATGCAAGGCCTGGTGCGCCTGTGGAAGACCTCTAGAAACAACGCTTTTGCGTCCGCAGATCTCCGTTCGGCATCTGGCGTTTTGGGGCTTTGGTGCATTTTACCAAAACCATCCCGATGTAGTGGAGATGTAGCGAGCATTCGAAAGGTGTCTGAATTTCCCCCAAAGTGTTCCACTGCTCCTTAGAGCAGGTCCTAGAGGAGCTTATAGGGTGACTATGCTGGCTGCCCGGTCGACATGGGAGGTAGATATCTCTCAATATCTTCAAGACGGCTGGTCTGCGACAGACCTATCTTTCCTTTAATCCATTAGGCAGCGGAAGATACCCAAGCGAGCCCTTGCAGATTACTCGAGCATGTACCGCATTGGTGTTGACGTCGGTGGAACCAACACCGACGCCGCCATCCTTGATATCAACGCGCTCGAGACCGACTCGCGTGGTGTGCTGGCCACCTGCAAGACTTCCACCACAGCCCACGTGACTCTTGGGATTCAAAGTGCAGTTCGAGAGGTTCTCACTCGTTCGAACATCGACAGAAGTAAAGTGTTGAATGTCGCCATCGGGACGACACACTTTGTAAATGCGGTTGTTGAGAACGATGCCCGGAGACTTAGTCGGGTTGCCGTGGTGAGGCTGTGCGGCCCCTACACTAGGAAGGTAGGTCGTTAAGTTTCCTACTGCCCTAAGGTCCACGGCTCACATCATCCTAGATACCTCCTTTTGCAGATTTCCCTTATGCATTAAGGAGCATCGTCGAGGGCCCTGCTTTCTACCTCGATGGAGGACTTGAGATTGATGGCCGGGAGATCTCGTCTCTCGACCCTATCCAGATCAAAGAGACGGCAGCGGCGATTGTGGAAGCAGGGATCCAGTACGTTGCTGTTGTCGGAGTATTCTCTGCACTAGATCAGACTGGTCTCCATGAAGAGAGATGTAGAGATCTTTTGCAACAGTTTGAACCAGGACTGTCTGTCGTTTGCTCTGGGCAGATTGGCGGAACTGGACTCTTAACCCGTGAGAATGCCACAATCCTGAACGCGGCGATTCTGGGGTTTGCTCGCAAGACGATCCGGGGCTTCAGACTTGCCATGTCCAAACTTGAACTGTCATGCCCACTGTACCTGACCCAGAACGATGGCACGCTCACTGATGCCGCCGTGGCGGCTGAACTGCCCATCAAGACATTTGCCAGTGGTCCAACAAACAGTTTGATGGGAGCCGCCTTTCTCCAGGGGCTGGATCATGGTGACCAAAGACTGGCCGACAAACAAGTCGTGGTGGTAGATGTCGGAGGGACGACGACTGACATCTGCTCTCTTTTGCCCTCGGGATTTCCTCGCCAGGCCCCCAACTTCGTTGAGATTGGCGGTGTACGCACTGCTTTCTCCATGCCAGAAGTGCTCTCCATCGGCCTCGGAGGAGGGAGCCGCGTGCGTAGATCTGAGGACGATGGGAGGGTCACTGTCGGTCCGGACTCGGTGGCGCATCGCCTCACAACCGATGCCATGGTGTTTGGAGGAAGTGTCATGACTGCGACAGATATCGTCGTGGCTTCGAAAGCAGCAAACATTGGTGACTACGACAAAGTCAAGAACATTCCCGAACATCTAATTGCAGGAGGAAAGGTCAACATCAAACGACAGCTGGAACGGGCCATCGACAAGATGAAAGTCTCTTCTGCCCCTGTATCTGTCCTTCTCGTCGGTGGAGGTTCAGTCATCCTCACAGAGGACCTCGATGGAGTAGAAGAGTGCCTTCGGCCACCTCATCACGACTCTGCGAATGCTGTAGGCGCGGCCATTGCGAAGGTGGCAGGGGAAGTCGACGTGATTGAGATATTGGCTGGCCGAGATGAGATCGCCGCGATCGAGGCAGTCAAGAAGGCGACAATCGAGGCTGCCATATCGAATGGAGCAGACGAAAGGGATGTCAAAATCGTCGAGATCAAGAAAATCCCGCTGCAATATGTCACCAACAAAGCCACGAGGATTGTGATGAAAGCAGTCGGGAGCCTTCGAGCCAAAGACGGAGCCGTTCATAATGGCATTTCTAATGGTACACTCGACCACGAGCGAGAAGCGGACATGAACATGGCGCAAGAGGAGATGAAGGCCGAGGCCACAAATGTGCAGAAGGGCAGTCTGGCGAAACCGACACTGGGCGTCGACATTGCGAACTACCGTCCCCGTGTCAACGACGGCGTCTGGTACATCTCTCCTATCGATGTGCAGCTGATCGCTTCGGGCGCAGGGATTCTCGGTACAGGAGGCGGTGGCTCGTCGTATCTCATGGCTCTGTACACACTGGATATTCTGCGCAAAGCCGGCCAGGGAACCATCCGCGTCATTCCTCTCGAGTCTCTCAAAGACGATGACACCTGCGTGTTCGGTGCTGGATACGGCGCGCCTTCTGTGAGTGATGAGCGCATCAGCGCTGGCACCGACGTGTTCGCAGCCATAGACGCCGTCAACACCATCACGGGCATCAAGGATTTCCAGGGCATCGTGGCAGATGAGATTGGAGGAGGCAACGGCCTTGTGACATTTCCCAGCAGTGCTCGCTATGATCGACCGGTGGTTGACTGCGACTTGATGGGACGTGCGTATCCGACACTTGAGCATGGAACTCCCTATATCTATGGACAGCCGGTACTGCCATTTGCTACAGCTGATTGCAAAGGCAACGCATCTGTGGTTCTGGTAAGGGTTTCTCTCTCTCGCCTCATTCCTCACACTTCTCGGCAGACGGCTGACTCGCGGCCTGTCTATATGTATTTTAGGCCGCCGAATCCAACAAGCGGGTAGAATCGCTGACACGCCAGACGTGCATTGAAATGGGCAATTCCACTGCTGCGGCTGGAAGGCCTCTATCTGGCAAGGTCATCAGAGACTACGCCGTACCCAACACTGTCTCTCAAGCATGGTATCTGGGGCGCGCCGTCCACCTAGCCAGGGAATCCAAAATAGATTTTATCGAGGCCATTGTGAGCTGTCCAATCCTCCTGATGACTTTGCGGAAGCTGCTGACCGAAATAAATGTATAGTCGAGCATCACTCCGGTGAAGGAGCTTTACGTTGGCAAAATCGTCGACGTAACTCGCGACATTTCTCGCGGTTATACAGTCGGTCGATGCATAATCGCCCCCTTATCAGCCGAGGAGCAAGACGGCAACCCGAGCCAATCATCCACTCGCGAGAACCGTGAAAGCCGCTACCTTACCATCCCTTTCCAGAACGAATACCTCTCTGCTGGTTTCATTTCGCAGTTTCCAACCCCATTGTCGTCCGCAGAGGAGGACGATGAGCTCGAAGAAGAGATCATATGCACAGTTCCCGACCTGATCTCGATCCTCGGTAGCGACGGCGAGGCTCTCGGCTCTCCCGAATTGCGCTACGGTCTGAAAGTCCGCGTGATAGGAATGCCCGCCTCTCCACTGTGGACCGGGAGCGCAGAAGGGCTGCGGGTTGGTGGACCCGAGTTCTTTGGCCTGAAGTGTAGATGGGAGGAAGTTAGGGAGAAAGGGAAGGTGAATGGGATGGGGGTGGGCGAGTACAAGAGGCCGAGAAGTGTTATCGACGAGTTCAACGTGAGCACATGAAGACTCAGCAGGCGGTGCATGTGTGAATGGGCCGTATATATTATAGTGACATGATGGCATAGATGATGTTGGATCCTGAGTGTCTGAGCAATTCAAAGAGAATATCTTCGCCGGCCGATGTCGCTTTTCCACCCGTCATCTTCTGTAAACATAATTGCCCATTCACATCGTTTCCTTGATATGTTGGTACAGTTCAAGCCAACCGCTCGGACTTGTATCTCCGTTCCTATCATCCATTTGCGGCTGCAAGCGCTTTCCTCTTTCTGGGATCCATGCTCATCGACTCCGATGCATCCGCAGTAACGTCTGGCGCAGCAGGGACATGACTCGTAACCCCGTTCATCTTCATCTCCTGTTTGACAGTCGTCTTGGTTTCCACTTCCTCCTTCACGGCCTGTTCCAGGAATCCGGGCCTCCATTTCGCTAGCACCTTATTGGTCGCTCCTCTAGCTTGATCATCTCCCTCCCTCCAGATGACTTCGATTGTATCCAGCACCATCTCCCTGGCTGGTGGTCTCATCAGCAAGAGATATTGCATTGCAAGAATACACATGCTAATCCTTTCTGGATCTCTCGCCAAGCTCTTTACCCGACTCAAGATTTCGCGATCAATGCTGGGTATTTCAGAAAGGAATCGAATCAAAAGGTTTTTATCTCGGGCGTCGAGGTAAGGTAGAAGGCGATCAATGAAACGATTCGCCCATCGGGTGTAGTTTGGTAGATGGCTGAGCTCGGGATGTGTCTTTGCGGTAATTTTGTCGGCGTACCATTCTTCCGTCAACCAGGAGATGGCCATGTTAAGGCGCGGTCGGAAGTCTTCAAGGACGTACATGAAAAGGGTCTGGCGGATGCGGTTTGCGACATTTGGTGTTTCTTCGGTGTTTTCTGATTTAATGAGCTGCCTGGTGGGATCCTCATCATCTTCATTCAGTGCCTTGGAGAGATCATCGAGTCCTGTTGGGGCTCTGGTGGCCAAGCGTATGAGGATTGTGGCCCAGGAGTCTCGGTCATTACCGCTGGCGGCGATTCGATTCAGACCTGATTGCTGTTTCGTATGAAAGTACCCTGCGGCCTCAAGAGAAGCAACGAGCTGAAAGACATGTCCAACGGTTTGATCCGATAACGTCGCGACTTCTGCCCCAGTCAACGGTGGGGGCTTCGGTAGCTCGAACGGGCCCAACTCGATAGCAGGTTGCGCAAGCTCTTCCAAGGCTCTCTCTGTAGTTGACTCAACCATTGCCTCTGGGCCAGGAGCAAACTCAGGTTCATACTCGTCCTCGTCATCGATCCCTGTGGGACCAAGCATGGGCACCTCGGGAATGGGAGTGGGTTGATTGACTTTCTGTAAGTGAGTGTATCTAGATCGGATGGCGTCAATAGCTCCATCCAGAGAATTTGAATCCACATGTTGCAAGAAAACCGCCGTTACGGTGCTGACAATGTCGGCAGGGAGAAGAGTAACGTCAAATTGCTGAAGACTGGGATCTTCAGTAAGCGTAAATAAGTGGGCGTAGGTATTCGGCGGTGGCGGCATTGGCGGAAACTTGCGAATTCCTGCTGTGAGTCTCTGTCTCTTTGCGTCATCCAACCCGTCCGTGGGTTCTGCCGGGCGTTTCTGGGCTGTGGGTTCTGCAAACAAGGCTGAACGGGACTGCTGAAGGCGCATGAGGTACGCCTGGATCTTCTGTTCCAAAGGATGGTTCGGAACAGCCCTCAGAGCCCATCGTAACAGAGCCCTCGTTGTTCTCTCCATCGACCTTACAATGACCATCAGTCGTGGGTTCATGGGAGAATTTGCTTGTTTCAGTGGGTTGAAGTTGAGAATAGCGGAGACAATCTTGGTAGAAATAGGAGGGCGTGTTCGAATAAGAACTGCCAGGCAGTTAAGGGTCGCATCGACAAGAATGGGATCCATTGTGTTTTCCTGGAACACACTCAACAGTCTGTCCAGCAGACCAGACGCCTCTGCCTCCAGATTGGGGAGGTTCAGTAGAGGGTGAGTTCGCGGAACCAAGGCGATGGATGTCTCATTTTGCTCGGGACGCTGGATCACATTAGCATGGAATCGACAGGGCAAAGGGCACAGCGGGCCGACTAACTCGAGGATCTGAGATCAAACCAGGGGTCTCTACTTGGACGACCTTTTGTACAAATTTGATGCAACAGATTCTGACTGCGATGGGAGCAGAGTCCATACGCTGGAGAATGTTCAATTTCGTCCAACTCATCTCCTGCCACAACGCAGCTTCTGTGGGGTGCGATATTCTAGACACTCTTGTTAGATATAGTCCCTTCTAATCTTGACACTATCTGTCCGACCACGTACACTCGTCTGAACACCAGAGGGTATAGACTAGCAGCTGCTTGAATCACGCTTTTGGTCACCGCGGGATCTTCTCCCGGTGCTTCCAACATGGCTCGTAGGGTGGGTAACACGTCTGAGGAGAGCTGTTCTTTTTGTGCATTTGGCAGAGAGGGGCTTGCGAATGCTTCTGCGAGAAAATCCGCGCCCCATCTTCGAACTTCGACATGCGCTGAGGGGCCAACGATGGGCAAGATCCCGGGTAGGACCTGGTTGTACACTTGAGGATCTCCTAGGGCGAGTTTACGCGCCGCTTCAAGTTGAGAGATCATCTCCGCGGCCGAAGAAGTTGTCCCAGCCATGTCGAGGGCACGGCGGCTGGAAATCAAAGGACGCAGCTATTGAGGAGATGAGATCACGAATCTACGAAAAGGTGAGGTTGAGAATCGGCGAGGGTTGGAGAGACACTATCGTGTAAGGCGGCATCGGGTTGAAGAGGAGGTTCCTATAAGACAGTAATTCGAAGCCAACAAGTGAAGGAGAAGAGTTGAACCAAAATGGACAAAGCCTGGGAAGTGGTGAATAAATGAACCTGGCCCGGAGGTTCGAGGTGATGATGGAAAGCGCAGTTAAGCGCAGTTTGCGGCTCCCAACTGCGGAGCGTGGAGCCTTCAGAGCCTTGTCTCCAATTGGCAGCCTCACCAGCCTTGGCAGGCCCCTGCAGGTCCTCACCTGAGGGAAAAACGTGACTTTGGATCTCATGCCCATGGTCTCTAACACAAACCTTGATTCAAACACTTCCTCATAACTCCGTCTAGCTATTGGCGACCACATACCGAATACCGAGTAGAGAACCATGCTTTACATATCATCTTTGCCTATATTTCGTCCCCGAACAGAAACTACTTGGAAATAACTCGGACCCGAGGAAGCGAAGATGCGCGATTGATGAGGACCAACCTTGGCAGTATTCCACGGCGGGGGAGTGCAATCTCACAGAGCTCGGCCGCCTAGGTTGCACTGTCAAGGTACAATCACCGCAACTTAGACTGCAGCAAGCGCGGGGATCAAGTGCCCAGCGTACTCCTGTCACAGCACTGTGGTACGGCTCTATCGAACACCGCGGCCAGGCAGACACTATCACATTCAATCGAGCCTCTGATTTTGTATCCCTAGCGTTTGTTTCTTTTCTCTTTATATTTATTTGGTTAATTATATCCGGAATTTCAAAATGCCAGATGAAAAGATTACAATTCCGTACTGAATTGACGCGTTGAGCTAGGGCATCCTTTTGACCCACATTCCAGTTTCGTTGTCCGGATTCGCTGGAATGAGAGCTGGGAGAAAGGGGGAGGGGATCGAGACACTGGTGAATGACAAAATATTATCTTGCGGTCTGCCCTGGAGCAGGAATTTACCATAGCTTGGACTTCTCTTGTTTCCACGACGCGCCCAGAAAGCGTTCAAAAGTATGCTGAGGATGGATTTCTACTGATGAGAGGATATGGGTATTGTACAATGAGCCGCTAACTAAAATTTTGACGTCGAAGGTGCGTGAATCATAGAATGATCACTCTGTCTTAACTTCTTCCTTGATTTCCGCTGTGCTTTCTTTGTCCTTCTTGGCTTTCTCCTTTTTCAAAGTCTTCCACTCCATCCCTAGACCTCCGAGGATAGCAGCGCAAGAATACCCAAGGGCAACATAGAAGACAATCACCAAGGCGTGGTTGTAGACGCGTAAGACCTCCGGTAGTTGCTGAGGACTGAAAGCCTGCCTCAGCTGCGTGGCTCCAGTATTGGCGATATCATGGGGACTGATGTTGCTGAAGCCCTTCAGTCCTGATATGAGCTTGTTGTCCAGGACATTTTGGGCAATGGCGACGGAGATAGTGCCACCTATTCCCTGGCAGAAGAACACCAATGAAACCCCCGTTGGGGCATCTTTCTTGTCCAGAACAGCCTGAGCAGCGATGTTGGTTTGTTGTAGGCCCAGACCGACTCCGAAGCCGTACAGTACCTGAGCGCCGATCCACATAGGGTGCGCCGTGTGCGTGGTGAATAGTGTAAGGAGACCGGAACCAATGGGTGTCAGTACGCCACCTGCCAGGATTGACGGATTGTAGTAACCAAGTCTAGAGACAAAGGCCCCTGAAATGATGGACGCAACGACGAGGGCGAGAATGAAGGGCAACGTCGAGTATCCGGACCTGATGGCTGAATCACCTTTAATTGCCTGGAACCATATCGACAAGTAATAGACAGCAATCATAAACGACGACCCGAGACAGAAGGCGTAGAAACCTCCGGTCGCAATTGTCCGCTGTTTGGCGATTCGGGGCGGTATTGTGCCAGACTCCTTCCGCCAGAATTGAATGATGATGAAAATAATAAGGAGGACGCCAAAGAGGACGAGGAGCGCGATGATACGCCCATTGGACCAATCGTATTTTTGACCGCCCCATTGCAAGGCCAGAAGCAGGCAAACAATGCACGGAATGAAAACAAGCGTGCCAGGGATGTCAATTCGGTCAAGCTTCTCTTTGAATGGCAGATCACCAAGTGCCGGGGGAGTGTTTTCGATAACTAAGAAAAGGAATGCCAGCACTACCGCACCGATCGGCAGATTGATGTAAAAACACCACCTTTAGCTCGTATTAGACTTTAAAGATCATGGCTATCATCGGAACGAAAACTTACCGCCAAGAGATCTTGGTCGTGAATACACCACCAAGGAGGGGACCTGCCACCGAGGCCACACCAAAGACAGCGCCCAGAAGACCCATATAGAGAGGTCTCTTTTCAAGAGGGGATGCATACATCATCAGAATCATCGCACCGTTAAAAAGTCCTGCGGCACCGAGACCAGCAACTGCCCGTCCCCATATAAAAGCGACAGAGCTCGGGGCGGCGCCACATATTGCTGAGCCGATTTCAAACACAAAAACCTCCGTGAGGAAGATCCATTTGGGCGAGTAGAAGGTGTACAGCCGACCAAAGAGGAGTTGGAGAGCCGTGGCTGGGAACAAAAACCCGGCATTGTACTATTTGCGATGTTAGCTGCTGTTCTTGGTTCTCCATGCTCATACCTGCGAAGAAAATCATCGACCTACCCAACCAACATCCCCAAAGCTTTGAAATTTGTCTGTAATTTTGGGCAGCGCGGTGGCAATGATTGTTCTGTCGAGGGCGACCAAGAAGACAGACAAGTAGATGCTCAGCAAGATCAAACCCAGCTTGATGCCAGTTGGATAGTTTTCGATGCGGCTTGTCGTTTGTTCGAGGGGGTTCTTATCTGTGTCCTTCGTCTTCTGCTCCCCCAAAGGCGAAGAAGTGCTGCTTGCGTCGTTCGCTATGGGCGCTTTTTGCTCTGCTCCCGTGTCGGTCGTGTCAGTCGACGACGTAGTCATTTTTTCTCCCTTCTCCCCTTTTGTTTTCTTTCTAGGTCTCGTAGGTAATTGAACAATGTGAGCAATCGACATGGATATGAGATAAAATGAGGCTTTCGTGGTTGTGGAATGCGACAAGAATGTTGAGTCAAGTTGCTAATGCAAACTTTATGCACATTCCATGGTGTTAAGAGGGCATGGCGTCATATCTCCGAAACGGGATCGCACAAGGTTCGTATTCCCATCTAGAATCCGAGACATCCAATCACTGTGCAGATGCTGCGCTAAGCTATGCTAAGCTTGGCAACGCGGCTCGGAGCGTCTCCACTCGGAGGCAAAGCTTTCCGTCCCACAAAATGCTAAATTCGTCCAATTGAAGTGCTGCAGAAATGTTGCAGCCTTGCAAAAGGGGGATTCATCTCTTTAGCGCGTGTCAAAAGTGCACGTACTGCTCCGTATATCTGTGTCTGCGCCAGGCCTACCCGATATCGTAAATCTGGTTCGTCTTCGTTTCTCCTTGTCAGTCTATACGATTGGTCCGCCGAAGCCAAGCGGGAAGGTTACTTGCAGCACGGTGACAGCGATATGAATACCGAATACTGGGTACAAGGAGGCAGATACGTTGCACCTTGTCCTAGGACAACGTCATTCCCTGACTTCAAATACTCGATCATTCTGGAAAAGTGTCGTCGCTGCGTACTCAATACGGAGTACAGCATTGGCCATGAGGAACAGTGACTCCTGCATCAAGCCTGAAAAACCATCTACGGTGCCAACAAACTCATTTCAAGATCTTTTCCAATTTCATCTGTGGGGCGGGTAGATTGCATTCGCCTTTTAACCAGTCTCGAGAAATGGCATTCCCCATAGTCCTATCTATCCCCTCAGACTACTGGGTACATTCACCTAGCCATATGCGGAAGTGTCTGCTTTCTGGAAGGCGATCGTTATGATTGAGACCTGAGTGTTCTTTTTTGCCACTTTTACTCTGATATTGACTCAGGAACCGGTGGTCTGCTTGTATTCCTAGACCTGGGGCACGGTTGAAAATTCACGACACAAAGTTAAAGTCGGTTTCCTCATTATTCAGACTGAAAATGCAAGTGTTCGGCTCTGCGGGGGAGGTGGCGTTTGATAATTATCTCCCGCCCAGATATTAACGCGCCAGATGCATCACGCAGAGGGGGATTGTGCTACAATATCTCCATGGATATGAAGCTGGCGACAAGCATCACCACAGAGTTCTTTTCTTCAGCTTGGTAAGTGAAGATTGTTCTGCTGCAATTCAAATTCACGTTTGACTTAAAGTGAATTCTGGAGTTTCTCGCCTTCGGTGACCCCCTCATTCGGCCAAAGGCTAATTAACACGCTTCGTAGGTTAGTGGCCCGCACTTTTTGGTTGACAGGCAGTCCGGATCTCGGAGTCTTGGAAACCTAACATTTATGGCAGCTGTCGGAGTATAGTGATTTCTATGATCAAGGCGGAGTCAAGTCGCGAGAGGCTTCAAGATTCCTCAAAGTCAAATGTGGCGTGAGTTCTCGCAACGACAGCCTCGGTGGTTATAGATCCGAGAGTCAGCCTGCTGGCCACGGCCAGCTCCACAAATTTGCATCGGAACAGGCATTTCTTACACTGATGTCTTGATTTTCAGATGGATGCTCTTTAAATGAATATCTTCCTGTCCCAGATATTTCTTCCCAAAAGAAGTCTCCTTGGTGTCTGTGTCTCAAGGTCGATGGGAGCGATCTCCATCTTTGTGTGACGGGAACTGGAGATTTTGGCGGAAATGGCGCACATTTTTGACATAGCCGCAGCGATCAAAGACACTTCGGGCCTTTACAAAGACGGGGCCAAGATCGATTTGAACCGTGTCAAATTCCCGTCGACGGACGTCTTTCATGGCATCAACAAGGCCTCTCGCATTGAGGGGGACGTCTTCGACCTCGAAGTCACGGGAAACATTCCGCCCGAGATC